AAGGTATGCCGCAAAGAACTTGTTCCCTCCGTCCTCTACAATTCCCTTTTGTCTCTACCGTTTCTTCCACTGTCTACAAAATCCAAGGCGAGATATCCTCATGTTTGATAGTCGCAGAATGGAAAGCATATTCGAAAAACCAAAAACGTAAACATAATTTACCTCAACAAGGTTACATTATTGTCTCCCGTGTTGTCAATAGAACAACTTTGTTTGCTCTAAAAAAAATCACAAAAGATCTTCGTTCCTTCTTCAAACCTCCACAGACAGTGCTCCAACAACATGCACGCCTTGAAATTCTTGCAGCGGACGTCCTTTCCCAAAATCTTCATTTGTTCAATCGCCCTGCGCCTATTTCCCAAAATGAATTCCAAAAGCCTTTTTCTGACCAATCCTATACACCAGCAACCAAAAATACATCACTAAAACCCTCTTTTCATCATCGTTCGTTCCGTTCATCGTCGGTTCCTAATATACCACCCCCGCCATTACTTGTGGAAATAACATCGGAACCTGGTTCTCTTCAGCCTTCTCCATCTTCATTAACATCTGCAACATACCCTTTCAATCTGAACGCGCACACGACATGTTCAATATATTCTTCCCTCCCCATTTTACAATGGGATCCACCGCACGAGAACGCTTGTCTTTCTTCACAGTGTGCATACCACCGCATGCATCATATAGCTTAGCTTTCAGATGTACCTATTGACGACTATATGGATTTGTTGATGGAAAGTTTCCCTTCTGTGTTTACTGCTACTAGTTTTGCGTATTCTGCTTGCATCGCGCGTCACCATCATGCTTTTGCTCATCTTTTCTAAACTGCGCCTATACAGTCTGTAGTGTCAATCTCCTCCAAGGTCTTTGATATTGTGTCTAGAGTATTTGTATACAGTCCTCGGTCTACTTTCAAGCAGAAGTTATAGCACAAAACTCCATAGTCCCATGCAAAAGTTTGTTCTATCGGTCTGCCTGTCACACATCCTCGTGAATCCGTATAGTTAAATGAAAAATATTTACCATTTCCATTTTCCGCATACCAATGGCCTATAAACTTCTGCTCCTCTAAGACTCGTTTTGCTTTCACTATGAAATAAGGTTTTTCATACTCGTCTTGGTCTCTCCTTGCCCTAACAGCCACAAATGCACCCTCCTTCACATCCTCGAAGTCTCCTCTTTGCTTATGAACTCTAAACGTCTTTCTATACCCAACATACAGTGGCCTTTCAGGAGGATTGATATCTCCACGTATCATCTCAGCGTCTGCAGGTCTGTTGGCCGGCATGTTGGAGCTGTTCGAAATGGAGGAGTCGCCACGTGGCCAAACAAATGGATGCTCCAGGCAGTTTGTGTCAAAGTCCATATTGTCTTGTTCCGCGAGAAAATGTTCCCACCATGCAACGGCCTCAGCATTGGTATATTTGGAAAATGCTTTCACATTTTCACATATTCCCGCCAATGATAAAGTTTTATCGATCTTCTTTTCTCCTCGGAGACTTTGATCCGCTTATCCATGCTTCGCACAACATGACGTGGAGCTGCATGCACACTTCCGTCCGAAAATGCCTTGAAGATATCCAACCCATAGGTATCTTGCGGGTGCCATGACGATGTACAAAACTGCCTACTCCAAACAACAGCAGTTCCAACAACATTTCTCTTGATACGAAAGTRTTGATTGAAACTGATATCATAAAGAGGTGCCAAGTGATCCTTCMCATAAGCTTTCCAGTCGTAAACTTCAAAYACCCGCTCAACATGGACACCTGCATATTTCGTATACGACTGTCTGATGACCGTCTCCAGTGCAAGCAGGTCATAAGCATTCTTACGCGCAAGGGCTSTAGAAAAGCAACTGAAMATCTGATCAATATTYTCATGTGTGTGACCCACCAAAAGGAAGTTKAGCTTGATTTTCTCGAAAACCTTCATGTGGACTAAGTACACAAGGTACGCCAAAACGAACTTGTTTTTGTTCTTTCGTGATGTGTTGTCGAGAGTCAAAAACAACACCTTCGGCAAAGGTCTTGGTAGATCCGAAAGAACTCTATGAAGCACGGTAAGCATGGAGTTTGAGTCATTGCTAAAGTTGTCGAACATCATCATGGCGTACGCTTTGTGCAGATGTCCTTCCACCTTTGCACCCACGACATGTACCTTCAAGAAGTCCGCCTCCCTAATTCTCGAATCTTTCGGAACACGATGAAAATGAGGAAGATTGGTCTTGCTTTGATCCATCCCGTCAATAATAACGGCTACATACTTCTCCGGTGACGACTTCGCTTTCAGTCGACGGTCCATCAATTTTTGTCTCTCCATCCTCTGCACTTCAAGATGGTAGTGCAACATTCTTTGGAATTCCTCTGCAGCAACAACAAGAAAGACAAAATATGTCATCACAAGGAGGCAAATGGTAAAACCGACAACAAAACAAAGAAATCCCAAAACAGGGTAGAGGAAGACGAGGGCAGTATGCAAAATGAGATGCCCACCTTTTTTGATGGGCGAAAGAGCTCTCCCACCCTGCAGCTTTAACTGCGCACATTGGGCGCAAATGAAGGATCAGTTCTTAGCCAGGATGCAAACCTTCAAGCAGCATTCTGTCCACACGCTTGTAAAAAATGAAATTGAAGGGACCACATCACCAGGATACAGGTGGCGGAAATGAGCGACGAAAAATTCATAGACTTCGCTCTTTGGTGGAACCTATCGGTGTTTGGCATGGACTCCGTGTTCATGTTGAAGTAGGTCTTCATCCACGCGTACATAACCATGTACCTCACAGATGGGTAACGACTGCCGAATTGCCATGCACGTAACCATGCTCGTCGTCACGAATCGCGACACACACCCCAGCAACTCGCGTCTTGGATAGTCCATATAGGCGGCCCCATGCAGTCGAGCAAACAAATCGACTTGCGAAAGCGAGACGCAATGATAGTAGAGTGCCATCAGCATTGTAAGTCGACACCTTTCTCACCTCCTGTACCAATAACTCCATCTATGGCGGCTGTTTCATAGCCCAGAACTTGCTTCTTACATCCAACACCTCCTCCAAACGGATTGTATCCACGCAACTTCTCACACAACAACCACCATGGAGAGCCGCACAGGCAGAGGTGGCTCTAATGAGCACACGTGCCTTTTTGTTGCGGACACGTTGATTTGCGTTCCTCTTGCCGATAATGTATTGATGCTTACGCCCGAATTTGGTGTAAATTTCTTTACCCTCATGCCCAGAAACACCATCACCATAGCTGTCTCCATCGCCCTCCGCGGTACAACCAGAGTCTTTAAAATTATTAACGTCAGGAGAAGGCAGAATATCCTTAAGCTTGAGGAAAGAAAAAACAGGGATGGCGTCGGTCTGCAAGGGCTCGCAGAACACTCTTCTTCTTTCAAGTACCAGCGCATCAGAGAACAAACGTTTGATCCGTTCCACGTCCACCGTAGCTTGGTCATCCATCACGAAGCATCGACGCACAAATTTGTCGTCAGCATCAAGGCAGAATCGCCAGACCCGTCTTGACGACAACAAGAATCACCAGACCACGCACGCGAACACGTCCCGTTACAACGGTCAATTGATAAACGAAAGAAGGAGTCGGGACACGACAAGCGTGAGACAGAAGTGAAAAAACAGTCTGGACCCGACAGACTTCGGCCAGTGACTTCCACGCGCCCGCCCACCAGCACGGAAGGAAGACGAAACCGGTGGGCGACACGCCCCTAAACTCTTTGCGAAATCCCGCCCAAGCGAGAGGGAACCTCGTCAAATTTTCGCGCACTTTTCACAAATTTTTCGGCACCCGAGCTCCCGCCAAAACCGGAAGGCGAGGGAAATGGACCACGCACAAAAAGCGCGCCAAAGGATGACAAAAAACCCAACCAATTCATTTTGCAACTTTGGGACTCCCGAAGAACACGTGGAGAATGCACGGAGGCGACAGAAATTGCCAGGCCCCTCCTGACGATAACAAAGATCATCAGACCACGCACGCGATACCATTTCGACACAATGGCCAATTGACAAGTGGAAGAAAGAGCCGGGACCCAACATGTGTGAGACAGGAGTGAAAAGAACAGTCGGGTCCCGGCAAGCTTCGGCGAGTGACTCCAGGCGCCCGCCTACCAACACGAAAGGAGGTCGAGACCGTTGGGCAACGTGGCCCTAAATGTTTTCTGAAATCCCACCCAAGCCCGAGGGAACCTCGTCAAATTTTCACGCAATTCGCACAAATTTCCCCAAGCCCAGTTCCCGCCGAAACCGGAAGGCGAGGCCGGCAGCAGGGGCATGCCAGTGAACTACCCACAAAAAGCGCGCCAGAGGATGAGGATAAAGTCAACCATTTGTTTTGCAGCTTGGTGTCCCCAGGAACACATGGAGGACGCACAAAGTCACCGGCTGAACACTCACACGGCGACCCCAAATTCGCAAAACAGAAGGATTTCAGAAGGGCCGATTCGAGGTTTCGGGCATGGTTCGAGTCACAGCGATGCACCATTTCAGACGGGACAAGGGCACACTGCTGCACCGTTTCAGACGGGATCCGACACCGGGACAAGGCCGGCAGTAGGGGCACGCCACTCCCCCTCCGCCGCTCCCCCTCCGTCGCTCCCCCTCTGCCGCTCCCCCTCATCACCACGGGAATACAGGCAGGGTGTGAAGATCACCACCGAAGCCAAACACCAGCAAGCCGCGGCCCGGGAAGGCTTGGGGCAGTTTCAGTTCGGCATGCCTGTGTTCCCTACCGTCCCAAGGTTTCCCAAGCCGCGAAGGCCACCACGGAAGGCGAAGAAAGGCAGGCCGCACGGAAACTAGCGGAAGCCGTGCCAAGAGGGAAAAAGCGGCGCCAAGAGGGAAAAAGCGGCGCCAAGAGGGAAAAAGAGGGAAAAAGAGGCGCCAAGAGGGCAGCAGGCGACGAGGGAGGACCAGCTGCAGCGCGAGAGCCTGGGTGCAAGTGGGAAACCCTGTAGCGGACGCAGGGGGTCTAGAACCGGGAAACAACAGTAGCGCGAGAGCCTGGGTGCAAGTGGGACAGGAAGGTCTGTTGTGGAAGCGAGGGGGAGGGAGCACGAGCGTTGCCCCAACAAGCGTCGAAAAGGGAGGAACAGTTGCCAGGGAAGGGGAAGGAAGCCATGGCCGGAAGACGGGCGAGAGGACTGCTAGACGCCGAAATGGACGACGGGGATACCCTCGCCCTCTCCCACTCGCTGAATACCATGGCCACTCGCACCGAGGGAGAGGAAGACATTGAAGACGAGGAGGAGGAGGAAGAGGAGGAGGAAGAGAATGATGGCTCTGGGGATGAGGAAGAGAAAGGGGACGAAGAAGACGTGCAGCGGAACAAGGAGAACCATCCGACGGAGAATGTGTCCGGAACGGCGAGAGTGAACTATTCGCTGGCGTTCAAGTACCTAGAGGAAACATACACGTCAGCGCAAACACTTTTTGAGATGAAGCCGGACTTTGATCTCCGAGGGTGTAAGTGGGCTTTGCAGCCCACACAGCAGGGGTTGTTCTTCTACCGTTATCTGACGAGGGCATGCAAATACGAACCTGTGGGTCTTTGCATTTGGGTTGCGAAGACCACAAGAGTTGAAGACGGACAAGAGGTCCACGTGACGAATCTATGGACAGAAAGGAAGAAGGTAATCGCGAGATATGTCCTACAAAAGAGAGACTATGTATGGGATGCTTTCCAAGACCCAAATGGAGTACTGCATCACAAGCTCCGGACAGCTCCCGACGAGGTAAGACATGTCATCAAGCATATGATCAAGATTGATTGATTCACTCAAGATCTTTGTCCTCTGCAGGTGCGTCCGCGACGCGATTCCCGATTGGAATCGATTACGTAATCGATTCCAATCAGGAATCGATTGAAAACGCGCATGGAAGGGGTAATGATCTGCATCACTGCCCCCTCCACGCCCGTTTCTATTGATTCCCGATTGGAATCGATTACGTCGGGAATCGATTACGTAATCGATTCCAATCGGGAATCAATCAGAAACGGGGGTGGAGGGGGCAATGATGCAGATCGCCGCTCCCCCCTCCCCGTC